AGTTTTTATTAGACCTCTGAGCTACTGGTCTGAAACCCAGCTGAAATTTATTATAGTAATAAAGCAGCTGCTGGACTAAACCAGTCACGGCAGCGGCTCTCCGCAGCGCTAGCACACCGCTGCACACGATCTGCTCTCCTGCACTGCGGGGTGATTCTCCGCCTGCAGCGCTCTGCCGACAGACTACGAGTCCCAGGTGCAGACAACACACCAACTAGCACAGAGATGTCCAGTGTCAGACGAACGAAAATGCAGGCTTATGGCCACTAACTGGTTGGAAGAGGGATAAAACCCTGAAGTACGAGATGCTCCTGCTCCCCCCAGCCCTGCTTACAATGAAAGCACACTTTGAGGTAGATGCATGAAATCCTGGCCGGTTTGCTGCTCACAGGGAAAGCGTACGACCATAATGTTACTAAGAAAGCAAAGCACCGTTGCCATGATAATCACAGGCTCTGTCTTTTCTTTCCTTTGTTCCTTCCCCTCTGCCCCTTCTTTCTTTTTTAATTAAAAAGTCTTCATAAGATATTGTTAGCAACAGCGATGAAGACGTGTGCCAGATTTTGGATTGACAACTCATGCACAACAATACTGATGCAAATCAGATCTTCTTTTCCCGTGTCTGTAACGGCACAAAAATATTTCTGCAACTTCTGAGTTCAGCTGTGGAGTTCGATGAACTAGTTCACCTTTTAAACTTATTCTTGGATGCTCTCTCCTTCACCCTGGTACTAATTTTTAGTTACATTTTGTATCAATTTCAACTACAACTGCTTTGAGACAAAGATTGCACCTTTCTAAGTGTTCATGCGTTACTTGGTTGTACAGTGGCATCTGTTCTCATTAGCACCTTTAGAGTTGTTGCAATAAGCTTGTCAGTAACAGTTCATTTAGTACCATTTTAAAATCATTACAGTTGGAAAAAAAGTGGAAGTATTTACTTTGTTCATTATTAGGAAAAGAAAACTTTAAATATTATGTACTATACAATACTGACTGCAACAGAGCAACTTCTTAGCACTCAGCAAATGTGAATATTGTAAAGTGAATCAATACAAAGTAAATATTGTGTGAGTTTCTGAGCAATTTCCGACCACTCAGAAGCACCCAAAAAGCCCTGTTCTCTCACCTAGGAGCATTACACAGCAGCACAGTATTTCACTTGATTCCACCCTAACCTGCAGTGACATAAGGATGTGCACACCACAACTTGGGCTAAAGACTGATCTTCTGGAGTCCATTAACAAGTCCAATTCAAAAGATCAGGATGTCACGAGAAACCTTTGGGCAGGATTACAGTCCATTTTTTCCTTGAAAAGCAGGCATACATTTAAAGCATCATCTTAAGCTTCACTTTTTGAGGGGTGGAGAGTTACTGGCTTGACACAGACTATGTTTTTCTTAATGTAACAGATAGCAAGTTTATAAATACTTCACTGGGAAGTGCCCACTACAAATGTCCACACGAAGTGGCCTGGACCTTTATCATGACAAGCAAACAGTAATGCTGTCAAACAGAAAGTTAGTGTTCATGGAGCACAGTCACTGTAATACTGAAGAACCATTGATCAATCCATCAGTACAAACAAAGCCCTTGGCTATAATTATTGCCAAAAATCATTTCTCTGAGTACAGAAAAAGAGGTATTTGTATAGCAGCAGCAGGCCATAAATAGACAGCATGTGTCCTTTGCAAATCCACGTTCTGCTCTGCTCACAAGAGCCTGCTGTATATCATCTGACAGAGCCGAGAGGCCAAAACTGGGCTATTCAGACACACCATTTCCCCTCTATTCTCTGTGAAGCTGACTGCACGTGGCTCTTTACAGCTTTCTCACACTTGATTCCCTTTACATTCCTCAAAAAAAGTAAACCAACTGTCTAGCTTTTGAATTCTTTCCATGAGGTTTATCAGCTGGAGCTTGGGCTTGAAGCACAAGGGTTCTTTTTAAAACAGATGCCTTACTTCTGGCAGGTATCCACTGATAATCATGCCGCTGTACCTTCTAATTAAATTCTTAAGTCTCTGGCGTTTTCCCATTACAGAAGGCAGTGGTGGAACTGAAGTGGCAGAGGAGCTCCCCTCCCTAAATCCTCTACCAGCCCAAGAAAACGCAAAGCAGCATTGCATCACCTGCAGAGCTGGGCCCATCTTTATGCACAGCATTTCTTTTTCTTGGAACACATCCCTTCAGAAATGATTTAAGCATACCAATTTTACTGCCCATCCCCACGGCACTGGTTACAGGAAGCAGCACAAAGGAAACTAGTTGATTCCACTGTAATTGCAGCAGGAGCAGCAGGGTTTCCCAGCAACTGGTTTGTGCAGCACTGGCTACTGGAGCCCTCCCAGAGCTGGCACCAACTGAGATTTACTGCACACATGCCTGCACAGTAACCATGCCAGCAACCGGGACAGCAGCAGGCATCCCTTTGGAGCTCAGAACAAACGTGCATTTAAATAAGAGTAATGTTGTCAGAGCAAGGCTGTTTCATAGAGATTTTTACCTACAACCAAAAGGTCTGTCTATCCAGAGCAACACTGTAGCATATTGTTCCCTGACTTAAAACACACTGGAATCACATTCTTATCTTTCCAGAAACAGTTCTGTCTTTAATGGAGTGATATCTGTACTACAGCAAATTGACTGTCAGCCATGAGCCACAGGCAACCTTATAAACAACATTTTCAAAAGTCCTTAGCTTTAATAGTTACTCACTTGTGAGAACACAGACTCATCTGATTCTTCCTCACATTTTTTCTATATTGCTTCCTGGAAGCAATGAAAGGACAGTACATATAAAGTCCAATTAGCTAAGTTTCCAGTGGCCATTTAAAAATTCATAGAATCACAGAATGGTTTGGGTTTGAAAGGACCTTACAGATCATCCAACCCCCCCTGCCATGGGCAGGGACACCTTCCACCAGACCAGGTTGTTCAAAGCACCATCCAACCTGGCCTGGAACACGGCGGGGGGGGGGCCAGCCACAGCTGCTCTGGGCAACCTGTGCCAGTGTCTCATCACCCTCACAGGAGAGAATTTCTTCCTAATATCTAATCTGAATCTCCTCTCTTTCCGTTTGAAACCATTACCCCTCATCCTATCACTGCAGTCCCTGCTTAAAAAACAAATAAACAAACAAAATAAATGAACAAAAAACAACCCCCAAATCTGCTTCCTACAGGATCAAAGTATTTTAACGCAGAAAGTATATATTTATACATATTTAAATATATATAATTTTATAATATATATTTAAAATAGAAAGTATATATATGTACGCACACACACATATGTATACCTATACTTATATACACATGCACACACATATATTTAAACCTAATATCTAAATCTTACAGTTCCATACCAACTCCACGGTCTAACAAAATTAAAGTCAGAGCAGGACAAGCTGTCTAGCTCAAGACAAGTGTGAAAAAAGTTTAATATAGGATTGGCAGGACTACCTCAACTAGTCTACATTCCTGTGCAAGATCATAGTGTGACTCTCTGGGGATGGGGAGGAACATCGTAAATTGTCCTTGGGATTAAAATAAACAGCTTTAATATGGATGCAGGTAGTCAGCAAGAAATGCTAAGGGTTGTCAGTCCATTGGTACAACGACCTTGAGAAGCACCACCCACAATGACTCCCGACGGAAGTTTCTTTCCAACGCTCTTGACAACATCCACAGAAGGAACAAAAGGGGGGCCTGATGTACCCCACATACTCAGACTTCAACACTTCAGTTCTTTGCTTATGAGTCAGTAATTTTTTTTTCGCCTATAAATGTGCTCAGAGAGGACAACTGATCACATAAATATTTACTCAAGAAAACACAATAAAGACTAGTCTAGCAAAGCAACAATCGCTGAGGGCAATGTAAACTTTCAACCTTTCATCCACACAGTCTTTTCCCAAATCTCCAATTTCTGGTGTTGTTCCTCAGGGTTCCTTTTTTACAGTGTAAAGCTCAAAGTTATACAACAGAGTGATATTAACATGCACCATGAAGACACTCAGTTTTAGTCTCTCCTAAATAAAAAAAAAATCACCTTATTTATGACAGTATCATATTAAACTAGTAATCCATTAAAAAAAATTATAACCTAGTGATTTTAATGTTGCCTATCCAGTTATTCTCCAGTATGTTTACAGTCTTCCTATTCAGACATCCCTTTTATTCAATTGCTTACTCCACACACAGGCTTTTCACAACATTGTCTGAGGCAACAGAACTTCAACACTTTTCCTCTTACCACTGAACATACCAGCCTCTACCCTCTTCCTTCCCTTCTATCCTATTCCAGGATTTTTTCTAGCAGCTTCCTGCTCTGTGCATAAATCTAGTTCAGTTCAATATTCTTGGCCTTCAGTCATAAATATCCTTCCAATGGTGTTTCTCCCACCAAATGCTGGGAGAAATGAGCCTATCCATTACACACATCCCCATTCCCCTACTCATGTTGCATGAAAATTCAATCCCAATGTAAAAGCCAAGTCAAACAAAGACCATGTTACACTATGTTCTGTGCAAGAGGCGTATGAAAATGAAGGAACTCAAGCAAAGGCAGCAGGAGGCCTGTACGGACGAACAAGAACCTCCTGTCAAAACTCAAATATAAAAAGGAAGCACACAAGAGGCTGAAGGAGGGGCAGATGACCCTGGGGAAATGCAGACTTTGTCTGAGTATGCAGACAAGGGGCTAGGAAATCCAAAGCCCATGGGGAGTTGAATCCAGCAATGGATGTTAAGGACAATGCGAAGGCCTTTCCCTACGTCAGCAGAAAAAGAGTCTTGGGAAAACATCAGCCTGTCGCTGAACAGGGCAGGGAACCTGGTGACAAGGTACTTGCAGAAGGCTGTGATACTCACCGCCCTCTTCATCTCAGCCTTTACTGAGAAGACTCACCTTCAGGAATCCCCGGTCCTCCAGACCACTGAGAAAGCTTAGTGCAAGGAAGCCCTTCCCTAGGTGAAGGAGGATCACATTAGCGAACATTTAAACAAACTGGGCATATACAAGTGCACGGGACCTGGTGAGACACACACACGAGTGCTGAGGAAACTCTGGTGTCATTGTAAAGCTGCTCTCAATTATCTTTGAAAGAGCCCAGTGATCAGGGGAAGCTCCTGAGGATTTGAAGAAAACAAATCTTCAAAAAGCAGGATCCAGGGAACTATAGGCTGGTCAGCCTCATCTCCGTCCCTGGGAAAGTAATGGAAGAAAAATTCCTGGAGATCATTTCAAAATATATGATGGGCAAAAAGGTGATTGGGAAAAGTCATTATGGATTTATGAAAGCAAAACCACGCCTGACCGATCCAATAGCCTTCTACAAACAGATGACTGGCTTGGTGTATGAGGGGAGAACAATGGATGCTGTTTATCTTGATGTTAGCAAAGTTTTCAACACTGCATCCCATAAAACCCTTGCTGATGAACTGATGAAGTATGGACTAGATAAACGGACAGTGAGATGGAGTGAAAACTGGCTGTAGCTGCCAAGCTCAGATGCTGTCAGTGGCATGAAGTACAGCTTCAAGCCAATTCACTGGCAGAGTATTCCAGGGTTTGACATCCATCCAATACTTTATATGTCTTCATTAAGGACCTAGATGAAAGGTCAGGCTGTACCCTCAGCAAGTTTGCAGGCAATACAAAACTGGGAAGAGTGGTTGATACACCACTCCATAGGGACCTTGAGACACTGGAGAAATGTGCCGACATGAGTCTCATGATGTTCAAAGGGAAATGCCAAATCCTGCACCTGGGTAGGAAATAAGCCCAGGCACCACTACCTGTGGGAAGCCAACAGGCTGCAAAGCAGCTCTGCAGAAAAGGACATGGAGGTCCTGGTGGACAAGTTGAACGTAAGCCATCAATGCGCCTTTGCAGCAAAGAACATCCACAAACTCCTGGGCTGCATTAGGAACAGCACTGCCAGCAGGCCAAGGCATGTCATCCATCTACTCAGCACTGGTGAGCCAGCTCTGGGCTTCCCAGTATGAGAGAGACTTAAATATACTGGAGCACACTCAGCTTGCCATGAATATGACTAGAGACTTGGAACATCTGATAAACAGGGCGAGCCTGAGAAAGCTCGTACTGTTTAGCCAGAAGAAGAGACGGCTCAGACCCAAATGTGTAAAAATACTTGACAGGAGGGCGTAAAGAAGACAGAGTCAGACTCTTCTCAGCTGTATCCAGTGAAAGGACAAGAGCCAACGGACACAAATTGAAAGACAGGAAATTCCATTTAAACATAAGAAAATAACTTGTTCACTGCAAGGGTGGTTGAACACTGGAACAGAGCTGCGTGGAGACGTTGTGGAGTCTTCTTCCTTGGAGAGATTCAAAACCCAACCGGACAAGGTCCTAAGCAACCTGCTCTACCTGACCCTGCTGTGGGTTTAGATGAGATCCTATCCAGAGCTCCCTTCCAGTGCCTCAGCAACTCTACGATCCTATGAAAACTCATGTATTCAAACTTTGAGCTGTTGGATTGGACTGAATTACTCTAAATGGATTTCTGCCTGACGGATTGGCAGGATGTTCAGGGCTAGCAACTAGGTCTTAAAGATCAGGGTATCAAGAGCTTGGTTAAGGTAGCATTGCATTAATGGTACAAATTTTTCCAAAATAACTTATGAATCTCAGAAAAAAATGCTATTACTACTGGTAACTTAATTTTCTACTGAAGTTACTTAGACAGACACCCGAGAACAGCAGAAGTTGTCAACAATTTAAGGGCAAATGAATTTTTCACAAAAAAGACTTCATATCATCCCGAAACTGACAACAAAGCTGAGAAGAGATATTTCAGCTGCTCCAAACCGAAGCCTGACAGGCACAAATGCAAACATTCAATTTGGAGTGCCTTGTAGCACACTGAAATTTGGCAAAAGTGCAAATAAGATCCTTGTCTTTTTTCCTCTCTAAGGAAAAGGGTTCTAATTATACCAGAACTAAAAGGGAAAGTAGTTTCACCAAATAAAAAGACTGTAATTGCCTTTCCGCCAAGTGAAATAGCTGCAGTAATCAAAACCATGCTAATACCCTTTAGCTATTCAATTGGACTGTGTCAAGATCAGTTTTTAAACAATCTGTACTGGGATCCTCTAAACAGGATCTGGGACCACCTAACATGAGTGAGATACTGCCCAAGAGTCATAGTTCACTCTGCCCAAAGCCTAGGTGTTGGTGTTTCTGTAGCTTCTAGCTTTTTGCTTTATGGACAAACATTTTAACTACTCTTTTCTGTCAGGAGGACAAACTACACATTTGAAACGCAAGACTAGCAATGCTTTCTGGATATACACCCCTGATACACACCTGCACATGCAGTAGAAAAACTAACAGCTTTTCTCAGAAGATCAATGCAAATATGCACTAAATATGGATAAACACTGCTATACAGCTCTATTTCAAAATAAGCTTCAAACTCAACACAAGTACAATAAAAAAGGTTAGGCAAATGTTAAACATCACAGAAGTATCTGGGAACGATTTGGACTGACAACTCAAGTATTGAACAAAAGATAAAGCCGTTCTCTTAAAAGAATACTAAACCAGGTAAGAGCACTCCAGCTTCTGTCATGAATACTGACATGGAGCTATATGCACATTAGTAATTATACTTTCAACATCTTACCAATCAATAAGATAGATGTCTGGAGTTAAGTTATTTTTTTTGAAGTGAGCAAATAACTTTGGCAGATTTTCTTCAAAGAATACCTCAAACGCGGCAAAGTAAGTCAACATCTGGGAAAACATAACGAGGAGAAAAAAAAACAGTTATCTTGTATTATTAATAGGCTTAAATGTATTATCTACTGTTGGATTCATGCTCTTAAAAAATAGGATCATATGAATTACATGACACCATAAAGAGCTAAACATTTACACAAAGGGCGGCATCTGCAAGCACAAAGAGTTTAAGATCCATTCTATATACCGTTCTCATGCTACACAATATAATTATTGTTTTGGGACTTGGCCAGCTTCCTTTGGAAAGAAAAATACCAGCAGGAGAGAAGTTATTTGCCGATTTCTCAAAATAATTATGATAACAGAATGGTATTTTATGCTTGTGGCAGCAATTTAATACTATACTGAATAAAATCCAAGGCCTAATGGATTGAAAAATGAAAATACAAAACTAAAATAATTTAATACTGCACAGCAAGAGTGAAGAGTCCAGTTAGCTCCAGTCATAAATCATATTCTAATACTAAAGCTTCTTTTATACTATACATTTTAAAATAAGGTAATAGGCATTTCTATTGCAAAAAGCGGGAGACAAGGTTCACACAGAAAAGCCAAAGACCAGGACAAAACACGTATGCAAGAGAAACAGATTGTAACTCCCATCTGATACCATAACCCCTGAACTGTACTGCTTTTAACACAAAGACTTCCATGTTATTTCAAAATTTGCGTATTTAGGTTGAATTTCATAAGAGAGCATGGAAAAAGAAAATCTCACAATCTCACTAAGAGTTAAAAACAAACAGACTTTTTTAGCCGCCCACCGTCCCTCTTAATAATAGGGAGAAAAGTTAAGCAAAGTCCTTGAGTGATTCAGAAATTTTAATTACAATATCCCAATAAAAGCAATAAAGAATGGCTGTATTTTCTTCAAAGTATGAGCTGTATCAGCATGTTCTCCCCAAACCACCATGACAGCAAAGGGAAAAATGAGGAGCCTTTTGTCTGAAGTCCTTCAAAGGACGACAGATTTGTTTCCCCGTTTTTCTCATGTTCTTACAGAAATTTTTCCTGTTTCACCTGAATGCAGTGACAGATGGTGGACTACCTTCATTAACAGTGGCAAATAAAAATTTTAGCCTGGTAGTCACTAAGAGTGTAAGGCTTAAAAGCCAATCAGACAGGTAGATGCTACAGAAATAACCATACAAGGTTTTGTAAAATCTCTGAACCATCAGTTACTGAGAAACATGTTCACGGCAAACATGACACCAAAAAACTAGAAACCCACTTTTTAGGGAACTGTACAACTGAAACAGCTTCCCAATAGGGATTTTTAAATGCATGAAATCCAAGCATCACATGAGATCTGCAAGTATAAAGAAGGACGAAGGTAGCGCAACAGACAGTCCTGCTTCCAAAATGATCCATTTAGATGCTAGGACCACGGTAAGAGAGTTCTACTAAAGCGTTTCAAAAGCACTTTAGAGAGGGGATCTTACACGTAACTGCTACAATCACATCTGCTGATAGTAACACAGCAGCTCTATTAGAAATGCAATAGCAGTTCAGTATTTATCCTGATCAGATCGTCATTCAACAAGACTTATTCGACTTAGTAGCAATTAAAAAGAATTCTAGTTTAATAAAACTGTAGCCAACAAAAGAAATCAAGATAAAGTGGTATAAATTGCTCTATCATTTCCACAACTAACTTGTGCTGGTTTTATTTTTCTAATTTATTATACGTTAAGACAAATCCGCATTTGGTTATTAAACCACTGTGAAACTTGACACAAAAAGATGAGGGCAGACATCTCAGGTCAGTATGTTAACCACAGGAAGCCAAAACTGTCTCACTTTACGTTTCACTACTCTGTTTGAAATATTAGGTACAAAGTTTTACTTGTGCTGTGAATCATGTAATCTCACAATATGTAACATTATTTCACATATCAACATCTCTACTCTTCTACCATTTAGCCTCTATTTAGCCAGACTAATAAACTAAACGGCACTAACCAAGAGTACATCAAAACCCGCTATTTCAGCTAAAAAAAAAAATTTACAAAATCTTATTCTAGCAATTTTAATTCCAAAATCACAAGAACTGTATTTACACACTGAATACACGAGCGTATCCTCTAGGTCCAAGCATGGTAATGGAGATGACTGATACTGTTTCTAGCAATGTTTGCACTGTGACACATCTCCCTGTGGGCATTTACAACTGATGAGACTCAGGGGCTGCAACAGGGAATTACATATTGCTTTTCCAGTAGGAAATACTGATAGGACCCCCAGTATCCTACTGTTTAAGCAACAAAAATGATCGTTGTTGATGTCATCCATTCCCTTGCTTTATTTCTCCCATTTAAACTCTTGAGAAGCAGATCCTATTTTCATAGTGTTAAAAGGTAAATAAGTGAGAAATACAGAATGCCAAATATTTTACAAAAAAATACTTTTAAAGTAAATTAAAAACACTTTCCGGGAGATGTGTCTTATTTTGCTACATTACACAAGCAGCCCAGTGTACAGGCTAACAAGGAATTTTAGAGACTCCAGAGAGAATCAGGCAACCAGCTCCGACTGAAAATTGGAGGGGTCTGCTCATCTGATTCCCCCAACTCCTTTTCAAACACAGCTGCTACAGTAAGAGATGGGAAACCTGGTTCTCCCTGCAACAGTCTATTTTTAGCAACCTTTTAGTCTGGGATAAAAAGCACCTTCAAGACACTTCTAATATTAAGGTGTTTTCAGCTTTCAACTACAGTGCTCAATTTGAATAATGTTCTCATAACCATTCTCTGAGCATCATAAATAGCAGCTGAACAATTTCATTCACCTCCTTGTTCAAAAAGGTTAGTGGGGTGGGTTTTGGTTCGGTTTTTTTGAGGGGTTGTGAACGTGCATCTGCGTTGGGGTTTTTTTTTTTGTTTATCAAGTGTGTTGCTTCAAAATAAATATTCTCTTACTTTCCAAGCTACAGAGTCCATTTTTTTTTTTTTTTTTTTTTAAAAAAAACTTTCCCAACACGTATCTACTACACTACATGCCAACTACAATTTTCTTGCATACTTACAAGGCCATGGTCCACACGGAAAAACGCCATCTGACAGGGTTTATTTAAAAGGTTAGAAAAAGCAATGAAGGCATCTGCAGTATCCAAGTTCAAGATCAACACTGCTGCTATGAAGGACATGCCCTGTACCTGGAGAAAGGAGAAGTGTTACTATTCAGCAGTAACTGTGCTCTTCCATTTTGTCCTCGTAATCAACAGCATTTAACCCACCCGCTGAGCTGCTGAATTTTGCAAAAGGTTCAGCAAGGCAGGATTTTTTAACCCACGTCACCCTTTGATACTTCATGTTCAGAGCATGGAAGCTAACAATGCCCATGTTGCCTCCTTTCAAAGACTAAGTAAAACTCCTAAGACAGGCTAGGATGACAGCACTTTCAAATATGCAGAATGAAGGTTTTTTTGAAGAATAAGCTGTTTCTAAGTAATCCGTCTTCTCCTAGGGATGGGTCATATATACACACTCTTCTTTGTGGAAAGCTGGACTAGGACACTGGAATCAAAGCCCATTCTTTCCTTTTTCAATCAATTACCAGCACTTACAGACAATTGCAATGACTCATTTGACAAGCAGTACCATTTTAAGATTAAGCTTGTTTCATTTACCATAAGCTCACGATATTGTTGCATTTTTCTACAAAGTACGCCACGGAATCAATGCTGAATCTAGGCAAAGCTTGCTGCCTCACTCAGAGGGTGTAGTGCTGCCACTGCAGAGTCACAGGGACCAAGGTGTGACAGTCCTTCCTGCAAACCTGAGGAAGAAGCTCCTTCCCAACACAACCACAGGTTCCATGCCGAATGAAGCATACCACCTGATCTGCCCTTTTTCTGGTTTCCCAGCAGTCATGTTCAGCAGTTTCTGCCAAGCATCGCATGCTACTCAAAGAACAGGAACATTATCTTTCTGCATTTGCCTTCTCTAAAACAACTGCTCCCAAATAAAGAATAAGCTCATATATATATATCTCTGTTCTGGGAAAAAAAGACTAAATTAAGTCTCCGAAATCCACGCGGTCCTCTGATAATCACTACCTCAAATACTTTGAGGGAGCTCATGTAGCCTTGACAGGCATTGCTTTAAAGAGTGTTCCAGAAGCTCACAGTGCTAATGCACAGAACTACATATTAAGAGGACTAAGATACTCAGCTCAACAGAAGCATCTCAGTAAGACTGCCATTAAGAACAGTATGTACTTCAAAGGACCAATTTAACTACATCCTCTGACTCCCGTTTTCAAGCACTACAAATACATACTTTTGAGGTCTGCAATTACTTAACCTGTTAAAAAGCTTAAATCTAGCAACAGAACCATTATATACACTTCTCAAGCACATACTGGAATAGAAGAAAGCACACAGAAACCCCACAAGTATTCACAAAATCATTCTACAAAGGTCTGATTAACACAATCCTCCCTCCCCCTAGTTCTCCATTCCCACCCTTGAAAACAAAAAAATTCTTCACTTACGTAGCCTACGTCAGGTCTGTAACAAGTATAGGCTCCTAAAATACTGTGCAACGTGTCATGGTAAGGACCACCCTATAATTATATAAAAACAAGACAATACATCTGAGCATATAACAAACATGCTGAAACCCCTTCGGTGCTACGGTACCTATTGGTACATATTGGACAGTATCTATTACTTCTGATGAAGGACACGTTATTCCCCTATGCAGCTCTGAACAGCCCCCCATACCATATTTATTACAAATGCATACAGTTCACCCAATACATCAATTACATATTAAAACCTTATACAAGAGGAATGTAAGCCTAAGAGATTCCTTATAGCTCGGCAGCACTTCGACAATAGCGCCAAGAAAGCAGAACATAGTCAGAACAGTGACAATATGCTGTAACATAAACACAGAGCACATCAAGAATGACACATATAACTAAAAAGAATTTCACACTGTTGACTATTAACAACTGCCATATCTTACCTCAAGTACTGTAACTGGCTGAGAATTTCCAAATGGTAAACTTTTCACCCAAAAATGTTAGATTTATCACAATCTAAACTTTTTACAGGGCTGCTGAAATTTGTGTATAGAAGGACAAAGTATCTGGGTAAAATAAGTCGTTAAGGCACACCAAAACACACAAGTTAAATTGATCTTGCACTGAACCTAAAAAAGGCCACCAAATCTTGCTTGCTTGAGTTATGTTATCACTTACTGTGTATTTGCAACCCAGCAGCGCTGATTCAGTGACCTGGAAACACTTACCTGCATCACTTCATCCCACAGAAACCAGCATGAACTAGGCTAGAGGAATCATGATGATTAGCCAATAGTTTTCCAAAATATTTAGGAACTTTTTCCTCTCAAGATGTCTACTCCTTCAGATTTGAACTGTTTCAACCAAGGGACGGGCAAGATTACGTAAACTTAGTTTCTCAGAGAAGTCAAGGCAAAAGTTAATACCACTTACTTGCTGGAATATACAGAGATTAGGAAACGTTCTTGAGATATCCAGTTTTATTAACTCCAAGCTCGCTTCTCTGTCAGCTGTAGAAAATCCAGCATCTGTAAAAGCCAAAAAAAGCCAGGTAACCATGGATCAGTGTACGCCTTTTTTTCTCCCTTTTCTAGTTAGGGTTAGCTTTTTCACAGTTCATTTATTTTGATGCAATTAAATTTTATTTTTATTTTGTCTATTCTGGCAAGTATAGTTGGGAATCACCTACTGCTACTCATTGAGCAGTCGAAAAACAAGACCTGTCAGTAGCCAATGCTTTACACCAATCACACCAGCATCTACACTCCAGAAAATAAAGTGCAAGAGGAAGCTGGAAATGTACTAGATGTCCTTATTTAAGACGCAGGCAATCTTCTGAGAACAAAGTAGGGGATTTCCAATCAAAAATATTTTTCTGTTGATAAATGCCAGTATGTATGTTCTCCTTTTTCTGCTCAGCATAATTACTTACCAAAGGCAATTTCAAGCATCTGCATGTAGTTTTACACTCTCTCGAAAACAGACAGCTCTTCCAATCAATTAGTAAATCTCAAACCACTCTGTCTGCAAAAATAAATTGCTGCTCTCTGAAACACACTCAAGAGATAGGCTCAAAGCTGCAATAATGGACTAAAATGCAATTTTCTGCTATAATTTGAGTTTCAATTCCAAAACTACAGATGCAGTAAAGTATTTTAGTGCTGCAATTCAAATTATAATCCCTAAACTTTCCTAGTTTTCCTACAAAATGCCATCAAATAAGAACTGTACCTAGAGATAGTTTATAAAGAAAAATGAAGAAGTCTGCTCTGTAAGAGACCATAGTCTCATTGAGAAGGAAGAATACAGCTACTCCTTGCTTCCATAAAAAGAAGTTTTCTTTTTACCAAACTCATTTTTATAGCTGAATTATTTTGTTTAAAGTCTGTGATTTCATTTTAATAAACAATTGTTACAAGTCTCTTATTCTGTAACACGCATAAATCACTCATGAAAAGTGTACCTTCACATTCTACTTCAGCCCCTCCTGTGCTAAGTGATCGCCATTTCTCTTTGGCACGAGCCAAGCAAATATCATACAGTTCTGGAAAAAGAAAAACAGATGAAACCAAGCCCACTATTTGCATATGCTCACGTCCACTGTCACGTACTAACTGCCCACCATACGAGCAATGCTGCCCCAGTCATTGCGAGTAACTATATCTCCAACATAGTAGTTGAATTTCTAAGTAGGTCATGGTTCTGAAAGACTTGTTCCACTATAACTTAAGGTTAAGCGAAAAGGAACGGCAATCCAGGCACAAGTTGCATTTTGTGTTCAAGTGTTTTCTTTTCTTATAGAGCACTGATGTTCAAAATTATAGTCTGACTGAATAATTGGGATAAGTCTAGAAAATTCCATTTAAAAAGTACACCCAAGGTAACTAAGCCAAGCACAGAAAAGCAGCACAATACAGCAGGAGTACAGGCAGTACCACCTTTCCATGTTCAAATTAATTACATATGTTAGTCTTTCAGAGCTGTGTTTTTCTGTACTCTGAAGTAGCACACTATTTCTGTTTTCACAAACACAAGTTTTCCTAAGGGTCTTTTAATCTCTCACAAACCTCGTGTCTTGCTCTAAATCAAAGGAAGCACACTATATCCATACTCACGGGCATTACAAAATTAACAATACTAAGTTTCAGAAAAAAAAAAAAAGCCCGAGTCATTAATTCTGACCATCTCCCTCTAACATCAAAGCAAGACACAGTGACAGCAGTAATCAGAAACAATTCACAGCAGCAGACCTAGAGCAGCTACAAGATTAAAAACACTGTATATTTGAACAAAAAACATCAAAGCACCACAAAAAAAAGTTTAACTAGGTAACATCTCCTCAGACCCACACCTCAGGTTCTGATACACCATAACAAATACAAGACTGTCCGCTTAGTAATTTCTCTTCGTAACACAATGTAGACAAAACAACAGTCTCACCGTGGGTGATGTTTAACTCGTTGCCAATTGCCAAGCTCCAGACCTTGCCTCTCACACTTGGTGGAATGCCCTGCCACCATAGCTCTCGAACTTTACGGGAACAACACCTGTTTAAAGTAAACGGGTTATTCTAAGAAACATTTCATTGCCCGCCGAATTGCAAACGTGTCCTCCTACCACTGCTGAAGGGATCCAAACCAAAATGAACATCAACAGGCCAAGAAGTCAAAAATGACATGTACATACCAATTCTTTAGTACTGTTTTGCTTTGAACTTGTAAAGGAAAGCTTACTTCCCTGCAAGCTAATGGCTTATTTTGACAGAAGCACTGCAGTCACGGTATCTGTAATCTGCAACCACACTTGACCAGCAAGAGTCATAGAGGACAGAAAGAAATGAAAAGGAAATCCGTATCTATGCCACTGCCTATGCTGAAGGCTAGATACCTCCATGTAACACAAAACACAGAAACAAGCTATGGAAGTCTACGCTCTCCCCTCTGTCATCACACTGCTGTGCAAATGAGACATGCAGTTTCCCACCCACCTTTGCAGCTCTAACCCTCCCGAAAAATGCATGAAGATGTAACGAGTAATAATTTTTAGGTGGGAGCATGAAAGACATTTTAACAGAACACAGGCTTTGAAATGGCTGCAGCTGATGTTCACCAATCTGAGAGCCCAGAAGGAAGAACAGAACAGCACCTAAGCACCAACGAAAATACGTGGTAGTCACAAAAAACCCCACCAACAACCCATTTATCTAAGCAGATTCTGAACTAAAATGTAAAACGGTGAATACATTTGGGAACTTCTGGATTTATAAACCAGTATAGGAAAAGGTGTCCTTATTTTTATAGCAGCCATAAGAGACGCATCTTTAAATACTACAGACAGGCATGTAAATCTACAATCTGCCTATACTTAATTTATTACTTCAGTTCTCCAGAAATGCATTTTCCAACAAATTCTGTCTACATTTTTAACATATATTCTCAGAACAACTGAATTCCATGATTAAACAAATTGCAATTGTGAGTGCTGTGGAGGTGGTTATATTTGGGGGGGTGCCCTGTTTTTTGTTGGTTTGTTTGGGTTTTTGTTTTTTTAAGATTACTAGCAAAGTCCATGAAAAACTACAACAGCAAAAGCAGCTTACCAAGTGCCTCTTACGTGTCTTTGTAGGAAATCTTTTAGCACTTAGTTATTTTTTTAAAAATAACTTTTTCCCCACTTCTCTTTTCCATCACTTGATTATCCCAGCAGGTATACCCCTCTGTAATTAAAGAGGCTTCGTAATACCATACATGTACTTCAAGCTGCATCTGATATTGTAACATCAACAGCTCAAGTAGTCAAGGAAAGCTCATTTCTGATAAACACACGGTGTTCAAGAATTATGCTTTCTGCTTTTACATTCTCTACCACAGATCACTTCCCAGTGTTTCACAGTTTCCAAATATCCCAAACCCTCATTAAAGACCAATGAGAAGAATTAGAACTGCATCACTTCCAGTCACCTTGTAGAAATAATAAAACTTATGTTGCTCATTTTCTTTGTAGCTGTCCAAGAGCAACTTTCAAACAAAAGCTTCTACGACCATTTAAAATTGTACTTTGTAACTTTTTAACTTCTCTTCAGGATACAGAATCAGCAATTTTAATTAAAACTCAGCATAACATACTGTCTTACATAGTTTCCCAATTGGGCAAGATTTCATTGTTCCAAGTTAAAACAGCATTGCCAATGCTGTCTTCCAGTTTACAGCGTTCTTCCAGTTGTTTCTTTCTCTTCTGGGCTTCTTTAAGCTCTGCAGAAAAGGAATTTCCTTTTTAAGTTAACAGAACCAGAAACCAAATATTCAGTTAGCTAGTCACGGCTATACAGCCATGTAAAAGCACGCTACATTCACCTAAACGTACAGTGGACTGTTCAAATTCCAACAATCTCCCAGACATACAGCAAGCTAAACAGTGATGCCAAAGGTGAATAAAGGACAAAGTGGAACTATGCATAAGACTCATTTTCAATGGATGGGACAAACTGAGTTGGATAATATGTGGCTCCTTTGACCCTTCAAATCTCACCACATTAGTAACTCTGAATTAGCACCTCTGACAGCCAACGGCCCCACCTAGTAGGCCAGATCAGAGTATTTCCTAATAAAGCCCCACCTCTTCTTTTATTGCAGACTCAAAAATACAGGCTAAAATAATACAAATTTTGTATTTTGTTTTCACTCTTATGTATTGTTCTTTGTAGATTACGACGTAGATACATTGTCAGGAAATCACAAGAGCCACATTTTTGATGCTGCTTAGCACGTGGTTAATCTAAATGTCATACATCACAAATATATATATATATATATCTATCTCCTGGAAACCTTCAGTTCATTAAAAAGAAAACATTTTTCATGTTTAGTTTAAACGCATTTTACATTTTTGCATTATCATTCAATACTTCTTCTTGCATCATCAACTACTACTTTTTCCACCAGCGAATTTGTTAGACATGCAATTTAACAAATGCAGGCAGACACATTTAACAAATGCAGCCACACAGCGGAAATACAGGACCTGCACATGCACACACACGCTGTCTACAACTTGGGAAGGTACGGACTTGACAAGGAAAACTAACTCCAGTACCATGAACAAGGTCTTTGGAATGAACACATGCAACCTAACGGGTCCACTTTAAAGCCCAAGAGAAGCTGTGCCTGAGCAGAACCGTATCAACTGCCTCACAGTATTTACAGCTTTGATATGAGCTCTTTGTAAGCCTGCTTAAATACAGGCTTTGAATTTTTCTCTAAACAAAAAGAGGGCGTTCACACTCTTTTGATTTCCTGACCTCTACACAATACATCACTGTGCAAAGCAGTTCATCTGGAGTGGCTTTAGAGAAAACGGGTTTGTCAGGGTATTTATCTGGACAGAATTATGTGCTCCAGTCCAGTGAAGACAGCGTAAGGACCTGGTCCATTGCCTAACCTGAGCATCATCCCATTTCTCTCAAACCATCTACTCTACATGCAAAGAAAGAAAAGAGAAACTCCTTCGGGCAACGTTAAGTGGATATACTAACGTGGGAGTCACATTAAGTTAGAACTTCACTGGTAGGTGTATGATGTTCAAAACCACAAGAGGATACTTTTATTAATATGTCAGTTGCAGAAAGCAAGTAAGTCCTGTGTTCATATCACTATTCCACTGTTTCATATGGCCCAGGGGCCTGGCCAGCTAGGAAAAAAAAATATTTCCAGTAGCTCTCACCAGACACACAACCTCTGTGAGTCCAATTTTCCTATTATTGCAATGCTTGTTTTTAATTAGAAAACCTAGATGGTCAAAACCATCAGCAGACGGAGCCACTACCGTCAGCTCTACCCGATGTGCACAGTCAGTGTTACTCTGACACTTCTGTGAACAATGTCAGACAACAAATTATGAGCAAAACCTTGGGAAAGCTGTAAATTTAAAGCAGGAGACAGATTATCAAAAGAACATAACTATGCACATTTTCCTATGTGGAAAATTATGTATTTATGTACTACAGCCTATGCAGGTTGCTCCCAATGTGAAACTATCAAGTAGCCTGTTGTTATCTAAGTAAGTCTAGTCTTCACTAATTTGACTGATAATCTTCTTCAGTATTATTAGTACGTTTTCAAAACCACAAACAGATGCCACTCAATTATTTAAGAGTTACAAATTAATAAATTCTTTCCTGATAGATCCTAGGATTGTTTTCTTTTTCAGCTTGGGGTGGGGCTTTTTAATGAAACTACCTTCATTTCTCTCTCTTCTCTGGATTGATTCTTCTTTGAGGGGAGGTACAGATCCCTCAGGTTACAGAGCAACAGACTGACACAAATGCATTTCAGATTTAGAAATACCCCTTAACTTTACTTCTCTCCTCTGAAGACAAGAAATTCCATCACCTCTTTTTTTTGCTTGAACCACCATTTCTTCGTACTGCTGTCTGTGTTTCTGAGCTTCTTCTGCTGGTTTTGCAGGGAGGTTCCTTAAATTTAAAACCAAATAATAATCAGTATTTAAAGTTGGCATGCCTGTCTAAAGAAAATTCTAGACACTTATAAAAGAAAAGCATACGCTGCTTCTTGTCAAAATATGTGATCAAAGAGCAGAGCAACGGATCCTTGGAAAGAATTTTTTTTTTTTGCCAGCATCAGCAGAAGAGAAGGGAAGAACACTGACCAGCTACAACTCCTTTTATACACAAAATACGCTGAGTAATTTCCTTACGTTTGGTAATTTCAGCATTTTTATTATTAAACCAACTGAACCCACAGGCTGATCTCCATAAATAAAGGGAATATACGGGTACACACCAAGCTGGCAGTTTTAATTTAAACTGATCTCTACAGGTAAAGATACAAGACTGTACTCTCTCTTACTGTGCACCTCATTCAAGAGTTACACGCACAACTTTCTTTACCCATGCAGTAGTGACTCCCTACATCAGCTTCCTTTTCCTCTCTGCTCTCTGAGATTCCATTTCTATGTTAAAGGCCTAACACCCCCCCCTTGCTTCTACAGCAACAAGTGGCACTGGGGCCATCCTCTATATCCTCCCATCATCAATACCAATGCAGCCATTTTGATTTGTGATTAAAGCCTTGACTGGTAACATCTCCGCCACACAAATATACATGCATATATGTCAGACCACATCAATTTTAACCTAACTGTATTCACAATTAACATAACCACTATGTATCTCATACAACTACAGGATCACCAACACATCAGAACAGGAAACGACAAAGTATTTTGTTCCTCTGTATTGTATTCCTAGGACAGTTTACATCTTTGGTTAATAAAAAAAGATATGCAAAAATTCACTTTGACATTGCTGTAAGGTGTCACACAGAAGGCAGCTGCTAGCCATCAGCACAGTCACCATTAACAGCAGTATGCTTTACTACTTACATAACCGTATCACCTGTGAAGCACACACAGCCATGTCATACATGCCTATGAATATTTTTTAAAAATCAAGACTGTTACAAGAACCAGGAAAGCGGATTTTCATGCCAGTGTCTTTGTTAACCACAGAGAACAACATACTCTCCAGTTTCATTTCTGTAAATTGACTGTCATCTTTTTTAGATCCAAGTCTTTAAAAATGGTGAAAGTTAGGGAAATTTTGAAAGGAAAACCAGATAAAACAACACAAGTTCTACTAACTTAAATTTCACCACTTAAGTTTTTTGTCCTATCTCTTAACGACATCACCATACACGTGAGATGATGTTTAGTATCTATTAAGATTCAACTTTCACTTTTTCCAGTTAAAGCTAGGACTATGGAATACTTATTGAGTTTTCCTAGAAAGTTTTCCCTAAACCCTATAAGTGAGAGCAAAATCAAGAGCAGCCATTTTGGAAAAAAAATCTCACTGCATTTTTCTTCCAGAAGGTTTAAATCTTTTTGTCACAGGAAATAAAAAACAAATTACTTAAAGTCTAATAAGAAAAAAAAGTAAGCAAACCGTAAGTAAACAATTAAGAAAGATTCTTTAGAAGAGTCATCAGAAGACATCACTGTTGTCCAGAGCAATTTTCCCTACTAGACAAAAGAAATGACGACTCACTTGTCCAGAATCTTAAAAATACATTTTCTGCTAGAAGTTCCTCAGTCTATCAATGATAGGAAAGAAAGCAAAATCTGAATGTTATCCTGTAATGTATGACTAATTTGATCTATCTAAACACTGTACTTCTCAGATTATCTCACATGAAGAATTATTTTTAACAGACAGGTTTTAAATACAACAACTAAGCTAGTATGTATCGTTTCCAGCTGTACATTATAAAACCTGCTAAAACAAATAACCACTCTTACATTGTTCTAGGTGTCCCAAGAAGTCTTATCACAGTCTACCAGTCAAGCCAAAAAGTGTCTTAAATAACCCTACAACTAGACTACTTCGATATGATTCTTCACAGAGATTTGCTGATGAAAACCCAGACCTATGTTACGCCAGTTCTTTACACCAACGCACAGCTACATTACACAGGTGCCATACCTGTAAAGCCAGGTACCATTCACAAATTGACTAAACATGACTGAATTTGTGTAATTCAGGAGCAAACCACGGTAAAGCAGCTGCCAGTAAACCACAATGGAGTTAGTCTGCATATGCCAGAATGCCCTTGCAGTAACAGAAGCATGAAACAACTTACCAAGTACCTGACAACCTTTGAAATGCAATGCTGAATGCACTGCAGAACAATCATTATATTGTTTCATTATTTATGGAGGTGGAATCTTTCTCTGTGTAAACAGGACACTGTATCCTTGCTTCTCCATTTCTTTAGCATATACCAGCTTTTGTTTTTATGCTTACCTCCTTTTAGGGAAAATAAAAATCCCTTATTCATGTTTAGAAGGTAGAATTACTCAAAACTAGAGCTCTGCTCTCCTAATTACCTTCTTTTATACAAAGTCATTGCTTTTATTATAAAATAAAGTTACTTTTGTTTCACTATTTTTTCTCATAATCATCCCACTTTCATATTCACTAGCCTTGAAAAAAAAAAAAAATCTACTTTAAATTTTAAATCATCTGTTTAAGTTCTGAGTAATCAAATACATGCACTAAGAAAAGCTTTGCTACCCTAATTTTAAAGAGACCCTCACTGTAGTACTTTCCAAAACTTACGCTGGTCTGTCCTCTAAAATAAGTGCTGTGGTGGAGAGTGGTTCAAAATCAAGATTCTTCCTCACATTCTGTTTAGGAGAGAGTGGTCTGTGAGCTCGTCCAGTTTTTTCTTCATATTCCTAGAGAATAAAAAGACAGGGCAAGTTACAGTAGTGCAGAACACCAAGATGATGCACATGAGAATTTAAAAAGGGTCCACAAAAGTCATCAACATAATGCTTTCACATCTCTGCCCAACTGCTTTTGGACAGTCTCTTTAAAGCTTTTCAACTAGAGGAACCTCAGGATTAAAAACAGTCTTAAAATTTATGATAATTTTTTTTTCGGGAGTGAGTTTTGATGGCTTTTTCCATTCCTTCTATTTGTAGCAACATCTTAAGTTCCTCTGACTGACAGCCTGCTTTTTACAAAGTACTGCTAAGAACGAGCTTACAAACAGCAGATATTATCTGAGGTATAAAATAAGACCTATTTAAAATATTTTGGTTTGATTTACATGGTTTTGAAATTGATGCCAAAACCGACCACAAGCTCCTTGTCTTAAAATCTCATCAGAAGCTTTCTCCTACCCAAGCTACTTTCAGATGCAATAGTTCGGGGATGGCAAAAAAAGAAGGTAAAAGTCACAGTTAGACAAAAACCCCACACTTGTTATCATGCCTTGAAGTACAACAATCCTAAATCATAACAGAGTGTAAAGTATTAACCTGTGTTTGCAATATATACACTGACACACAAGAGCGAGACCAGCAAAGAGGCACCAAGGTGACCGGGGTCTGGAGCAAGTGACACACGAAGAGAAGCTGAGAGAACTGGGCTTGTTCAGCCTTCAGAGAAGGCTTTGTAAGGATCTTCAGTGGCTCTAGGCAGCAGTAACAGGATGGCGAAGGCCGAGTACAAGTCTCTGAGGCGCTCGTATGAAGAACAAGACGACAACAGGCACAAACGGCTACAAGGGTAATTCTGGTCTTAGGGAAAAAAATCACTAGGAGGGCAGTCAAACACTGGGACAAGTTTCCTGAGACATGGTGGAACCTCTGACCTTGAAGGCATTCAAAGCTCAGGTGGATGAGCCCTGGGAACCTTGTCTAAGCAGACTCTGTTCCGAGACAGGATTTAGCCCCTCAGAGGTCCCTCCACCCTTAATTACTGTATCACTATGATCTACGTTAGAGGGCTTGGCACTACATGTACCGTGCTATTTTTGTTTTGTTTTGTTTTGTTTTTTTCTACAAACACTGTTTCGGAAGAAAATGTCCCAAAACCATGACCCAACGGGATAAAACAGCCTTTACACAACTTCCATCTACTGCAATGCTTGAAGTACTATAGCAAACATTAAGTATCCAAAGTACCAGTGACATATAAACAGTCCTAAAAAAACAAATCCGTATTAATGATACTTCTACATTCAACTTTATCATGAATTTTGCCACTTCCAAAACTTACCTGCTCTCATGTACAGTTTGCTTATATCATTTATATTAAAATTTAAAAAAGGGAAACTATACTGTGAAAACTAATCATTATAAACAAGCACTGTGGTCCTCACAGATGGTACTGATTTCTTTCTCTCAACCTAAGCTGTCAATTATGTCTAAACTCCCTTGGGCAATAGATCCAACCTTTCCAACACAATCAGAACAGCCTGGATCATTCACAAACTAAGATGGGATCTCTACCACTTCTAGAACGGCCTTCTCCTCCAACCCCACCTTAAAAAAACAGATGGATGAAAACCACACATGAACGCAGAGCCACACGGCTGTGGTTTTCTACTCTATGCTGTACAATTCAATTCTAGCTCAAGCTAGCTCTGTGGGACTCATGGTGCGGGT